CACAGACCATGTGTCAACAAAATTCAGCTCCATTCACTGGCTGAGCAGTCACCACAGCCTTCAACAGGTTACTGGATTCCTCCTTTTCTGTCAGCAAAAGGAAAAATAACACTCCCTGTATATGTACTTCATAGGAGCATGGTGGTATTACAGTGATTACAGTAAAATAGGGTTTGTTAACAATTTGGAAAGAGTAACTCTCCACTCACCAGGTTCTGTCAGGGGTTAGAATTTCAGCTCTCTGAACAAACAAAGCAGGAGAATGCACAGTATTTTACTTTTAACTCTTATTACATATTAGTACGGCAAATGAAGGAACTTCGTGTTACAGCACAAGTGAATGGTTTTGAACATGCTGTCCAACAGCCTCACAAGGTGTTTTCATCAGTATTTTGCTTTGGTTACCCCATTATTTCTGATTTGGCCTGTCTGGCAATATTCTTTTATCTCAAACTTTTGCAACCCAGGTACTGGCAGGAACAGATTATTGTATCTTTTTGTCTAGCAACAGCACTCAGCATCAGAAATTAAGAGTAATCAAAGAACAAAATGTAAGAAACAGCATTAGGATTACTGTGAATGGCTCAAAAGAGGAGCCACATTGAGGGGGTGATATGGTTTGAAGCTGGCTCCCTGCCAAGTCTCCAAACCTTACCACCAGAAGTCCCCCCCCCACCCCAAACCTCAGGGAGAAGAGGGAGAAAAAAAAAACTAAGAAAACCCGAAAGGAGAGAGACAGCTAAAGTGATATATATAAATATATTTACACTTATGTTACAATTGAAATATATATACAATTTAAAATATATACAATTTCACAAGGGAAGGGGAAGGGGGAAGGGAAAGGGAACAAAACCAAAATAATATATATCCCAATCAGTAGCCCAAGATCTAGTAACTAAAGAGTTAGCAAAGAAAATATCCCACCACTCTCCCTGGGACAACCGAGAGTCGCTCCGGGACAATCGCCGGCAACCTCCGCCTCCCAAGGTCGACAAGGCCTCACCAGGCCTCGCTCCCCAACACGGCAGACTCAACAGCAGGGAACCTGCACCTCCAAGCCACCGGAAGGAAAGAGAGCGAAGGCCTCTCCTCCTTTCTTCTTATTGTCTTGCTTACGTAAAAATCGTAGGGAATACTGGGTAAATCTGGACCCTTCCTTGGTTACAAACTGGTCACCAAGGAAGGCCTAGCCCAAACCACCACAGAGTGATTCGTGGAACTGGATGTATATTATGTTAATTCTGTCACTCCAAGAGCTGTAATGTCACCATTTTCCTTTGGAGAGTAGAGTGCTGCCTGAACTGCCTGACTGATCAATGGGCTTGGAATGAAGCTGTGTTTCCTGGGACGAAAGAGCAGGATGAAGAGATGAAAAAGACCTTTCAGAGATCATTCAGTCTGGCTGATAAAGGATTATTCTCCATGATCTTTATTTAGTCCAGTTCTAAAATTCCCAGTTGGAGTGGGAATGTTGATATTTTCTGGTCTGTGTTTGGCCCCAGCCACCTGTCGTAGTTTATATTCTCCCTGCCAAGTTCAGTGATAAAACAGTGAATTCATCCTTGGAGGGAGAACTTCTGTATAAACCATTTTAATTGGTGTTCTACTATTGGTTCATTGTCTGCCAAGGGCATTTGAAAGAGAAATCGAAGAGGAAGGGAGGAAGGCTTGATCCCCAACTCAATTAGAAAAGACCCCTAAAGCATACTGCGCGTGCATTGGGGGATTTCTGAAGCTCTCACGCATGTGCTGAAGGGATGAACTTACATAACCAAGAGGGTGGGATTGGGAACCCCTGGCGGGGCGGTACTGGCCACACCTTCCCGGGCAGAGGTGCTCAATGGATTGTATAAAAGGTTTTCCGAGTGTGGTGGGCTTGCTCTACACGAAGGATCAAGTTGCCTTTAGCGAGGACGCCAGCTATCATGGGAGCCTGCTAACCCTCTGGAAAATACAGCTGCTGCAGAGGATTTTATAGTATCTGGAGCGGGTAAGATCATCCCGTAAATGGCACCTAAGTGAGTAGGGTGTTGTACCTCCTCTTTGGTTTTCTCTTTCTCCTGGGTGCCAGTTTATTTCAACCACTTCTTTGTAATAAATATCTGTTTTACTGAGCTTTCAACGGTGTCTTGGTTTGCAAGCTTCAGTATGTTCCGAACCTTCCCTAATACACCAGTCAACAAAGTTCCTATGACAAATATAGTTTATTCTCAAAAATTATAATCTTTCTAACATTTGACAAAATTTTTATACTTGTATCAATGATTTTGGTCATTCAATACCATCAATCAATGATGATATATAAAAAACATATATTCTAAATGCATATTAATATGTTTAGAAGAAAACAAAATGGTCTGATAACCTTTTATGCATTTAAGTAAATAAACATCTAATAGCGACAAGAGGACCAGGGCTGTTTATGCTTTTGTATGGCAAAGACGAAACAGAAACCTGAGGCATTTATTCAGGTAAAAGGAGGAAGAGAAAGGGGAGACCCTCCCATTTTTGGACTTCTTATCTAGTAATTTTAGAACCACAACAAATGCATTTCCCTTGATAAAGAGGCACTCACTGCAACCAACTGCAGTGCCCTGGCAACGGTACTGGAGATGACCAAGCTGATACCAGGTGCTACAAGAACATACTGTGAATCCCATCAGCCTGATTTTTTTCAGCCATGGCAACTCCTTTGCTGACTCCGATGCAACACCAGGGCATCATGAGTGGCCCATCAGCCACTTTTTATACGAACTGTGGCTCAAACCCAACAATTCTTCCCTAAGAAAATCCAGAGAGACAGTAACAAAGCTAAAATTAGAAATCAGGAGCTGTAGCTTCCAAGGCAATGCACATTATGTGACGTTTTTTCAATACCACAGGTATTGAAATTCTCTGCTAGCAAAAAAATGGCTTAGAGACTACACTCCACAATGCAGAAATTCTCCCTCAAAACTCAGGGCTGGGTGACAACATGGTGTTTTACTCACCAAATTTCAAAACACCAATATTTAAAATAAATGGTGAAGAATGAGACCAATAATTAATTCTGGTGACTAAAAAATAGCTACAGCATCACACCCTGTAGTTATAATGGTATCACTCAATCTAGGCAGCTGCTTTTAAAGATGATAAATGCAGTCAAAATACTAACTATGGGGGCACATCATGCCATTAATAATTCTCCAGAATAACTTAGCGAAGCAAAACTCAGCTTATTTATACCTTATGTTAAAAACTGCAAACATTTAATTGATAGAACATTTAATTGATTTGGAGAAGTGAAAATCATCTTTAAATATGAATTAAGGTACATATTTGAAAGACTTGGATGCTAACAGGAATTTTAAGAACAAAGAGAAATGGTATATTTCAGGAATATTCCAGAAAAAACCCTACCAAAACTTGGTCCCTCATGAGCTCTCCACACCCAGTAAATCACAAGGAAATTAGGAAAGGCACAGTTGGAGAATATCACATCACAACCCACCACTTGCATATGGAGGCTCTCCCTCAGCAGTGTGGTCTCCACACTGATGGGATAGCTCCGGTATACTGTTAACAGTCATGAAACCATTTAAAATGGCAGTTTAGAGCTAAATAGGTCAAACAAACACTTTACATCTATCCCAACATAGTGTACCCTGCACCCACTGCAGTTTGGAAAGCTTAGTCGTACCAGACAAGACTTTACCAGTGAAAAATGTATTGTTTAATAGACTCATAAATTTAAAAATAATTCTGCCAGCATTGGTGTAGCAAACCAACTTTGGCACACCTACCAAACTCTCAGATCTACAGGCAGTTACTGAGACAATGATCTGGGTAGTGGAAGGAACACTAAAACACTATTGGGCATCTTCTGGAAATAGCTGAGGAAGGAGCATGAGGTGACACAATGCTCAGGTGACCTAATGGCCATTTTAACTTCCCACTTCCCCTCCTCAAAAAGTAAGATTTATATGTTTATCCTATGGGGAGAGGAAGGTAACTAAGCCTTTGAAAGTGACCAATGTTTAGATGAACACTGGCATTGCTGAGCTCCTGGAAGAAGAACAGCCTGGGCTGAGCTGAGCTGGGCTCACATTTTTGGGGGGGGGGGGGGGGGGGGAAGCTGACAGCAGAGCTGGGCGACAGGGAGGGCTTTTCCAGGGGCTGTCTGGGAACCTGTCCCTCGCAGTGCCTCACACTGGGAACAACTGGGCTGGGGCAGGCAGGACCCTCACCCTGCTTATGACCTTCATCCCCCTCAGCTCCTGACACCCCCTCATCTCTGCATTCCCCCTCATCCCTTCAGTCTCCTTATCCCTTGTAGCTCCCTCATTCCCACAGACCTCTCATAATCCCTCATATCCAGCTTATCCCCCTCATCCCCACTGCCTTCTTGTACCTCCCCAGCCCCAGACTCCCCTCATCCTCTGTAGCCCCTCCAAGTCCCTGAGCTGCTCATCCCCTTGACTGCCCACATCCCCCTCAGGTCCTCCATCCTCCTCATTCCTGCATCCCCTTCGGTCCCCTCATCCCCCTCATGATCTTCACACCCTGCCACCCCTCCTCATGCCTCTCAGCCTCACAACCCCCTCATCCCTTTAGCCTCCTAATCCCTCGTAGCTCCCTCAGTCCCACAGCCCCCTCATCCCTCGCCACTCCCTCAGGTTTCTCATCCCCCTCAACCCCAGATCCCCCTCATTCCCACATCCCCCTTATCCCCTTCAGTCCCCTCATCCCCTGCCGCCCCCTCAGGTCCTGCAGCCCCTCATCCCCCCCGCCCCTTCATCCTCCTTATCCCTCATCCCCCTCTACCCCTCTTTCCTCCTTATCCCAGTCAAACGTACCAGCCCTTCCATCGCCCGGAGCCCCCCATCGCTCCCGCTCCCTCATTCCCCCCATCCCCCGTTCCCGATTTCCCATCCCCCACATCCCTGCTCTGCGCACGCGCGGCCTCCTCCCTCCCCCTTCGCCCTGCCCCGGGGACGCGCATGCGCGCGGGACGGGACAGGGCCAGCGGGAGAAGGAGGAGGAGGAAAAGAGAAGGAAAAGGGGAAAGAGGAGGAGCGCGCGGTATGCAGGGGCGGTGAAGCGCGGGTCGTCCCTCCCGCTCCAGCCGTCTCCCTCTGCCTCTCCCGCTCTGCCCCACCCCGTCCGCCGGGCCGCGAGGGTCGTCCCGGGTCCGGGAAGGCCGAGGAGAAGGAGGAAAAGCCTGTCCGGTGCTGGCCTGGCCTCCAGCGGCTGGCGAGGCCCCTGTCCGAGTGGGACGGACGCACTCGGGTCTTCCCGTGGCTCTTTCACAGAATCCCAGGATATTTGATGTTAGAAGGAACCTCTGGAGATCATCCAGTCCAACCCCAGCCCAGTCAGGGTCTTCTGGAGCAGGTGACACAGGGACGTGTCCAGGTGGGTCTGAGATATCTTCAGACAAGGGAGACTCCACACCCACCCTGGGCAGCTGTTCCAGGTGCTGCCACCTCCATGGAAAGAAGTTCTGCCTCATGTTAAGGGGGAACTTGTTGTGTTTGAGTTTATGGCCTTTGCTGCTGTCCCTGGGCATCACTGAACAGAGTCTGGGATCATCTTGAGACATCCCTTGGGGATATTGGTGTGGATTGATGGGATCCCCTCTAAGTCTTCTCCTCTCCAGACTAACCAGGCCATCTCCTGCAATCTGTGTTCATCAGGGAGATGTTTCAGACCCCTCATCATCTCTGTGGCCTCTACTGGACCCTCTCCAGTATCTCCTTGTCTTTCCTGAACTGTTCTTTTGGGATGGTCTGAGAAAGGGTGCTGTGCTGTGCTGTACAAGTCTGTTACACAGGTATGCTGGTGTATAGGAGGGACAGTGGGATCCTGGGGTGCATCAGGAACAGTGTGGCCAGCAGATCAGAGAGGGGATCCTACCCCTCTTCTCAGCCATAGTAGGGCCACATCTGGAACAATGTGTCTAGTTCCTCAGGACAAGAAAGACCAGGAGCTGCTGGAGAGGGTCCAGCAGAGGCCACAGAGATGATGAGAGGTCTGAAGCATCTGTGGATGCTCTGTTCCTGGAAGTATCCAAGGCCAGGTTGGACAGGGCTTAGAGCAGTCTGGGATAGTGGAAGGTGTCCCTGCCCATGGCAGTGAGTGGGAGTGGATGAGCTTTAAAATCCCTCCCAATCGAAACCATTCTGTCATTCCATGATTTGTATGTGATGCTGCAGTTCTAGCTCTATTTATGCTGCATCCTTATTGAAATGGAGAAGGAGGAAGGTAAAAATGACCACGTTTTCTGAGAAAGTGTTTATCTTTAAGATGTTGTGAGGGATCCATTTGAAGGGTAGGGAAGGGTTTGAAGCCACACTTTTGGAACGGCGGGAGCTGTACTGCTGGTATGACCTGGAACGGCTTCAGCAGGACTCTGATGGCCATCATATACTAGAGTTGTTAAATTGTTATTTCTCCAAGGAGAAGGTGTTAGGCCTATGGAAGTAGCCCAGAGGTAGATTCAGGTTCCTGGTTGCCTCCTGAACTGCGCTGCTAAGGAAATATATGTTAAAACTGCAGCTCTAGGCTCCCCAGTAGAGGAAAGACACCACCATACTGGACCCTGAAGCTGATTAAGAGTGTGTGACATACAAGGCAAGGTTGGGAGAGGTGAGTCTCTTCAGCTGGGAGGAGAGAATGATCAGTGAGATCTTATAAATGTCTGTGAATGCATGGTGGGAGGGAATAAAGATGATGGAGCCAGACTTTTTTTCAGTACCACGGAGCAGCAACACAAGATGCAATGAGCACAAACTGATAAATGTTTTCGGTCAAACAAAAGAAAAAAGGTTTACTGCTATGGTAATGGAGCACTGGAGCAGGTTTCCTAGAGAGGCTGTGACATCTCTATCCTTGGAGATAATCAAAAGCCAAACAGAAATGATCCTGAGGAAACTGCTGTAGTTGACACTGCTGTAAGCAGGGGGAATGGACTAGGCAACCTCCAAAGGTCTCTTCCCCCCTCAGCTGTTCTGCATAGCCATGATTCCTTAATGTGCTTGAAGAAATATGTCTTTGTTTTACTTAAAGCAATACATTTTCTTTGCCTGTACCTTGTTGTTATATTGTTCAGTTGCTATAAATTGAAATTTTTTAGGGTTTTTTTTGTCTGCCAGTGCTAACATTCAGTTTGCTCTGCAGATATCCTGTAGCATGGCAGGTGAAGAAGATTTCTTTTTGGAAGAAAAAAGATTCAAGCAGCACTGTGAAGAATTTGTTAAGCATTCACAGCAGATAGGAGATGGCTGGGAGTGGAGAACTAGCAAGGTAAAACAATCATGGTATTAACTTTTAGGTACCCTTGATGGCCTTTTCGAGCTGTTGACAACCACCACAAGCTGGAACGTCCTTTAGCAACATGAGAAATAATTGGCATTTTTTTTGCACAGCAGATCCAAGACTAAAATAGTGCATAGATGGTTGACATGAGGGTTTAGGCCAGTGCATATATTGAGTAGGGTTGTAGGTCTCTGAGTCTTGTCCAGGATATAAAAGTCCATTTTCAACTTTGGACAGAACTAGACAATGAATGTGGTATCACTGTGAAATTCAAACCTTCCTACTCTGGGCAACTGCCTGTGGTTTTATATCCAAGGTTCACTTCAGTCCTTTAAGCTGAATTAGCACATAGTCTTTGTTCTAGGTCTGTGGCTTAGTGTTTTTGTAAAAATACCTGTCAGTTGCATACAGCAACCAGAAGAATCTGTCAGTGTCAATGTTCAATTCTCATTATTTGCTGCTTCCCCATAATTTTCAAACCTGTCCAATAATAATTACATATTGTTTCTAGGTCATTAATCAAAATTTTAAATAGCAGAGGGCTAAGAGTAGTCCCACAGGATCCCATTAGAATCACTTCTTTTATGATGATTTCCCCATTTTTAAAGTTACATTTGAGATCTTTGAATTAATAATTTTTTTATTCGTTAGTATGTCTCAGATCAGTGTGGGATTATTTTATTTTTTTTTAATTTCCACTCATGGAATCAGCAGATATCTTTGGGAATTCTGAGTATGTAGTTTTCCAGCTTCTCTGTTTATGAATCAAACATGTATTTTTAAATTACCCTGACAAATTCGGTTTTCTTTAAAAAATTACATTTACTGTATGTATCTCTTTATTTACTGAATTCCATATGACTTCTGTTATTTTTGCTTGGGATGAGGTCAAACTAATGTGAATAGTTACAGAAATAGGTGAATAATTACATGAATTAGCCACTATATAATATGTATTATAGTGTATAAAGGTATACTGATATAGTATATAAAGATGTATTGATATATGCTGAGTTTCTCCAGCATCTCGGTTTGTCTGTGTGTTCTGCTCTACCTTTTTTAATTTATTTTGAAGTTTAATGACTTTAGTGGTTTCCCATACTTTCATGAATTCTGGGGAGAAAAATCATGCTTTTTCCAATGTGTGCCATCATTTCTACATAAGTAACTGTACATTAACAGTTGTAACCCTTGCATCACAGATGATCAGAGTTTCAGTAGGAAGCAAGGTTTTGGACTTAGGTTTGTTCTGTTTAGGAGTTTTTAAAAAAGTGCAAATATTAACCAAGTGTTACAATACACCTTTTCTTACAGAAAAACATTTGAAACTTTAGATTTTAGTCCAGGGCTATATTTGTGAGGATTTATTCAACAAAGAAAGATGCTCTGAGACTCTTGGGAGTTTAGTACATGGGTCAGAGTCTGAACTTTCTGTGAAATAAGAAGCTTTGCTGGAAGTAGCAGAATGAGATAGATTTTTGTTCTCATATAA